CTGACACCGTACAAGTGTTGTCAGAGAAGCATCTGATATAGTCACCCACGGAGTACATATGCCGGATGTACTCGCAGCCGTACAGACTGCGAGTAGTCGAGGAAATACAATCACCGCTGACGACTTCACTGGTTCCAGCTCGGCAGGAAGTTGATCATCGAGCCGATTCCTGCGCTCATACCAAATCTGCCTCCAAATCTCGGGATTTTCCTCCATATTTATCGAAAACTATCGTAGATTCCGAGTATCGCATCGTGGAAAGAAGTCCCTACCCAGACCGCATCCAGAGGCATTGGTCACCAATAGATATTCATCCTTGTAGTCAATGTATGGATTACGTTTGTTGTGACTGTGAGTGAAGGTCTCGGCGGACTTATGTAGCTCTAGGCGCCTGGTTGGTGATGTTCTGACGCTCCGAAGAGACGGTCGCTGGCTCAGGACCATCAGTACTTCATAGAGCTTATCCAATTTGGGCCGTATTTCGGGAATCCAACCTGTACACCAGTTTATGCGGCCAACAAGCGTCTCCAGCGTTGCTCGCGGTATACATAGCTGATCGGATAGCAACACAGCGATTATCTTATCTGTTTTGGTCACCGGCACGCTGAGTTCGATATCGTTATTCTCCCCGATATCCACCCGATAACCAAGTATCCTTCCATCACTCCTCAAAGCGTGGGTTTTCGTCAGCTCAATAGGTATTCCAAGTGTATTCCAGGGGCAGGCTGAATACCAGACAGAACCTCGCCTTGCTTGTGGCCATCGTATAGTCATCCACATATACGATCGCTCGAAATATTGTAGTAACAATCTCCGGGGCAACCATTCGCAATGCACAGTCCAATAGGCGTTTTACACAGCGTAGGCTCGCCTCCCGGAAACGCTCGGGGATGTTACGAGCCTCGTAATACGAGGCCGAGAGGCAGGCAATTGTGCTTGAAGGCTTTGCTGGGATCCCGAGGGTCCAGAAAGCATAGGAATCCGCGTTCGCTCGATTCCGCACTAATCAATCTGAACGCTGATACTATGTCCCATTCTAACAACCAAACTTGGCTATCCTCATCTCCAATACTAGGGGTTGGTCGCGGGAAATTAGCCAATAGATCGTAAACATCCCGGAACCTAGGAAGACAGCGGGTTGTTTTCAGGTCACGGACAGTACCGTCTTCGCCTTTGCTTTCGAGTAGAGCTCCAGTACGTACGGTAATATTGATACCACTCCTCCTGAAGTCGTCCAATCGTCGGATGGCTTTAAATTCCTTCCCGTTTTTCTACATCACATGAACTTTCGACAACGCCTCGCAGTCTGGACTCGTCGGATTAATCTCTGATAATCGGCCTAGCCGAAGCTCCTTCGCTATGAGCTCTTCGAACAGCCTATACATATCTGGAGGAATGCTGCCCTGCGGCCAGTCGTGTAGCCTCAGCTCCTCGAGTTTTTCGCCAGGCCACCGCACGAAGGGCGGCTCATCCTTCTTTGGTTTGCCAAACTTGTCAGTATCGACTGCTGGCCATTCCGCATTTACTCGAACCGGGATCAAGAGGCCAATTGGTGCTCCCTCAGCTACCATCCGGCAGATATCCGCGTCTTCACCGGGCGACTCCGTCGTTGCTCCTTTACCAGGGGCCGTACTGAGGCAGAGTTCTTCTAGCAGTCTAGCGCGTAGAGGGGACGGGGGGGCCACCAGCTCTCCCAGCTCCGATTTATTGATGTCCTTCGCGACCGAGGTGAAAGTGGTCAAGTCCTCAAGGAGATCATTGGCCACACTATTGAGGGGAGCTCCATCATCGGCGTTCCACTCCACACTCATCGCGGATTGCTCTCCCCGAGAGCTGGCGAAGAAACGATCTAAGAAGTCCTTTCGGGCCGCACAGAACCTCTCTGTGTGCTTAATTAGAATCCCAGAAGTACTCTCTATTAATGGCAGCTCAGATTCTCGAAACTCGAACTTGTCCCACTGCCCTGAGTACCCGGAGCCATCTCGAGGCTTTCCCTCCACCGCTGCGGCTGATAATTCCTGGGTCGACGTTACCCAAGGGTGATCTTCAGGCTTGCTGCCCAACTTTCTGCGCCTATCTCGCTGTTTCTTCGCTTGGGTAGACCTCACGTGTGGCATTTCTCAAAGAAGAGTCTCTTAAAGAGACTCTCTTTGTTAAGTGGGAACCAAACTGAACGACAGTCGTTCCGAGAACGACGTTTCCTCCGTCCCATTTATGGTGTTATGACCACTAGGAACGGCACTGACGCAACGCAGCAGCGACCAGTTTTGACTACGTTACGTGATAATCAAACTTCGGAAAATGGCGGAACTCAGCTTCAACAGTGTTGGATTGGCACCAAACCAATGCCGCAGCTATGGTTCTTAGGTTCTTCCTTGATGGTCATCCTTCACTGCCCAGTCCTAGGCGTTTATCAGACCCGAAGCTACTGTC